CCAGTGCCCACGGCTAGGCCAGTTGATTCTACCGGTTCGCTGTCATGAACAATGGCAGGTGAACCTCATCTGTTATTCATCTTGTTGTGGGTTGAGCTTACACCTTCCCCTGTGACATGGAGATGTTCTCCCCTGAAAGGCACCCCAACGCTTTAACTCTGTGAGTTTGACTCCTCCCTACCTGAACACTTCACTGGTGCTCCCAGCATCCATCACAGTGAGGAGAAATGGCCTCATCGGACACTGCTGGGAGCAATAAAAATTATTGCGACATTTCTGGCAGGAGGTTTGGCAATAGGTACTCAGAACTTCACGAGCAACTATGCGCTTGTCTTATCTTCTAGAGATATCTGTGCTGAAATATAGGTGAATGAAATGATGGATGTCTGGGGTTTGCTTGGAAACAAGCCAGGGGTGTGGGTTGACGGCGTTGGCCAGGAGCTGCGGTGGACTGTGAGTGAAGGGCTCAGTCATCGTTTTACTGGTGAAGTCAGTTTTTGCGATAACGTGTAGTGTCTTTCCGAGGCAAAATTTTGGATGTTATGATCTACTTTCTTGGAATTTGTCTTGCAGAAAAAAAATCCTAAATGTTAAAAAATAAACATCTTTTTCTGTACTATGTACTTTATTAGAGTTTACCCATGTATTTCTGTCAGTACGTATTTTGAACAGATAGAAAAAAAGTTTACGTGTAGTTCATAGTTAGGAATAAATACCCATGTTAGCACACTCAAGTGAAAAACAGATACCAGGGTACCTGCAGGGCGTGCTGCAGACTTCTTCAAGGATGGTTTTCACCAGCATGATCACAGTCAGGTGGCAGCAACCGGTTCCAACAGTGGCTTACAGACCCTACCGTCATGTGTACTGCGTCACACACTGCATGCGAGGCAGGCTGAAGACATGCTGCAGAAACAAGGCATTAGCAAAGACAATGATAATTTTTGCTCATGAACATTTCAATGAAAACAAGTCACAAATGCATGCAATATAATCCAATGAAAGCGCTTTTAATATGTGCCGAAAGGAGGGGTCCCGGGACATACACCCGGGGAATTTGCAGTGTTTTCCCCCATGGGTGAAGTTAAGCACCCCCTTCTCCCTCTCGCTGCTGGCTTGTCCCTCTGGCTGCTGTGGCTGTTGCATGTTCTGCTACTTGCTACTACTGAATGCTCAAAAGTGAAAAGCACATTTTCTCTTCCTCACTGTTTCCCTTTTTTTTCTTGTCCTCCACCTTTTTCCTATGTATTTATTTTTCAAATTTGTATGTATTATTTATTTCTTAAAATTATTTTTGCTGGGCACTCCATGGTGGCGCAGCGGGTTAAAGCACTGCACAAAGAAGCTAAAGCCACTTCCACATGAGTTCGATCCCCGCCTGCCCTGGAGGTGACCACATGGCGTGGCAGACCTCTCCTGACCCGCCCGCTGCTCCCCTCAGCAGTGTACTTCGTCCATCTGCCTGTTCTGCTCCCCGCTCTGTCTCTGGTGAATCCTCTCACCCTCCACATCTCTGGCTTACCCTAGTTCTGTATGAATAAATAAATAAATCTTAAAAAAAATTATTTTTACTGAAGTAACTTTGGTTTACAACACCATATGTGGTTTGGGGGGTATGGGCTCACACCTCTTCAAATGTATGTTACCACACTCTGGGCCCCCGTCACCTCCCACCAGAGCCCATAGGGCCAACAGCACCCTGGGGTACCCACTCCCACTGCGAGCCTCAGCTCTGCAGTCAGACTTCTAGGGCTTGTTTGGGGTTAGTTTTATTTATTGTTTAAGATTGTATTTATTTTTACCTAGAAGAACAGGGGGACAGGCAGAGATACAGGGGGTGAGAAGAGTCGCCAGAGACAGAGTGGGGAGCAATGCAGGCAGATTGACTGAAACCTACTGCTGAGGGGAACAGAGGGGAGCAGCGGGGAGACAGGAGAGGTCTGCTGCGCCCTGTGGGCCACTCCCTGGCCAGGGATGGACTCAGGCGACATGGTGGGGCTGAGCAGTAACAGCGCTGATCCTTAACGCTTAGGTTACCAAGGAGACACTTAGTTTAGTTTTAACTGTTTCTTTACTTTGTGACTCCACGTCAGGTGAGTGAAATCTGGTATTCGTCTTTCTCCTGATTAATTTCCACTAAGCACCATCCCCTCAAGCTCCATCCGTGTGGTCACGGAAGGGAAACATTTGTCCTGGCCGGTGAGGAGAGGCCCTTCGAGGGTACACGCACCACAGGGCTTCTTAAGCCCAGGCCTCCCTGGGTGGGATTTACGTGCTTCCGGTGTCCTGGCTGTTGCAAACGACCCCGGGGTGCAGGTGCACCTTCTAGTTAGAGTTTTTATTTTCTTTAGCTCAGTATCTCAGCGCGTCAGCCAATATTTACGGAGGTCCAACATGTGCTGGTCTGCGTGCTGGAGCTGCAGGGGGAGACAAGACGGAGGCCATCTTGGCTGTGTTATCACCCACATTTCCAGCTCCCTGGTGGCACCTTCCTGGATCACCCACCTCAGGTGCAACAGATCCCAAAGCAGCCTCCTCTGGAACCTCCGTCCGTCCTCCATTCTCTGCTCGTAGCAGGGCTCCTAAGAAACTTTCCCCTGCTTGTTTACGACACATCTTTGAGTGAGTCCCATGGCCAGTCCCATGGACGCGGGCATCACTAACTAATCCCAGAGGCTGGCCCGCCTCCGAGGTGCCTGGGAGTTGCCAGCTCCAGACACTTTTACCTGCTTTGCTTCTTCTGCCAAAACAGCTTAGGAGGGAGACAGGGGACGGGGTGGAATGGTAGGAGGCCAGATGAGAGACTAGATTCCCAGGTTCAAGTTGGCACTGGCGTGGCTGAGAGTTGCCACACGGAGCCAGGCAGCCGGAGGGAAGAGGCTCTGATGAGATGCAATTTCATAAAGCACAAGAGAAACTTGCTCTGCTGAACAGATCTGGGGGTGCGGACACGCCAGCCCCTGGCGCCTCCCACCGGCCCACGGTTCCCTGCCTCCTGCTCTCCAGGGATTCATCCCACAGGCGCACACACAGGTACCTCCATGTCATATCCAGAAAGTCCTTGTAGAGAAAACGCAGAGCACCCATTTGGGTAGAATTTTTATTTTTCATCTTTTCCGAAGTCCCCCTTAGGATGAGCAGTGATGGAAAGCTGGGCACAAGTGGGAGTTTTAGCTTCTGGAGCTTTCTCTGTCTAAGCACAGGAAGGGGATATGCACACGGACGGAACTGAGGCCTCCAGGGTCCTTCCAAGGTCGGCCCACGTCACCCCTCTCTCCTCAAGTGGAGGAGATGATGAATTTCAGAACAGAATGCCTTGGGGAACCTCAACACCGATCTCCCACCCACAGGCGCTGTCAATCCCGGGAGTGCTTCTCAACACCCCAAACCTGACCCGGTTAAGGAAATGCAAGGGCCACGAAGACGAAGACTTGGGCTGTTTTCTACACGCATGCCGGGCATGATGGAAGCGCGTAGCATGAAATCATCTGATCTCAGGGCATTTGCATTTACTCTCCCTCTGGTGCTCTTGGAAGGAGCATCACCCAGCTGACTTCCGGGTGGCCGGTCACAGTCAGCCACAAAGGGAGCTGGACTCTGCCGTCTAGGGGGCCCCTCCATCACACCCCGCCCTTGGCCTCTCTTCTTCCTCTCCAGGGGAAGGAAGCTCATGTGTGAGCCCATCATCACCAACCCGCCAGCAGTTCTGGGGACAGAGTGTGTCTGGGCACTGCTGTCCAGCCCCCAGCACGGAGGAGGTCAGAGCTGGTGCTCACCGCTGATGAGTTGAGTGATGAGTGAAGGAATGACCGTGCCGATTCCGTAGAGCGAGCTTACCCCCACGCCTGGCACAGTAGCAGAGAGAACTAGTGTTGATGATGTTGGTGATGACCCCTGAATCTGCTCTGAGGCTGCCATGCTGCGGACTGACCGCTGAGGGCCCTGCCTGGGTCCTGCGGGTGAGGCAGGCCAGACCCCGCCCGCCGCCCTCCTGACCGTGGACAGGGGCTAGAGCACAGTGCCGTCATGACCAGCTCCCGCTCCTCACTTTGCTCTTGGTGGACTGCCACAAGCCGTGGGGGCCCGTCACCCTGTCTCCCCAACTCTTGAGTAAGAACACTTTCAGGTCCTTCATACTAACACGCAAAGGGCTAACGTCAGCTCCACACTGTGCCACATTCCAGCCTGGGTCTCTCGGCTTCTTTCTTTCCTCTCTGTTCCTTGTCATCTGTCTAAAGTGCTTCCAGTGCGCTCTGTTTCCTACCTGCAGGAACTCTCCAGTGTCCAGTACACCTGTCTCCTGAACATCACCCAGATGCTCCAGCAGCTTCTGCCTGCCTCCGTCTAGCCTGCTTCCTTTCTTGCTGTCCATTGGCGTCTCTATCGCTGGGCACTGCCCTACCCTGCCCTGCCCCCTGGGCCAGAGCGGGGGGCCTGACGCTAGGGCGCTGTGCATGAGGGGTGGTGATGGGCTATGACTTCAGTCTTTGGGGGCGGGCGGCGCAACCTCAGTCTTGAGAGGTGAATTTCGAGCTCCTGGGTCCAGGTGCTGCATTGCCTCTTACCAGCATGGGGCCCCTACAAGTGTCTTAATCACAAGGCCCCCAGGGGTCCCACTTGAAAGCAAAGATCTGATTAGTAAAGGCCAATGAGGGCCAACCCCAACCAGTGGCTGAAAGTATAGAGGGGTGCTTGGGGTGATGCCTCTGGGGATGACTGGGGTGGGTGGGGGGTACGCAGGAACCTGTTGACAGAGAAACGAAACAGTAGTTGAACATGTTTCTGAAAAACTCCCAGAAGTTTATTATTTTTGTTAACACAGCAGACACCGGATCACACTGAAACCGCTCTCAGCTCCTTGGAGCTCAAGGACAAGCCGACGATGTGCCGCTCTGTGGCTGGACTCATCCGCTGATGTCAACAGCCTTGCAAATCACATTGAAGGAAATGAATATGAAGTAAATTCCAAAACACAAAAATAAAAATGAAAAAATGTCTAAATATGCTGCTGTGCCCCGTTGCACAAATGTTTGCCTCCCGGGACACGAAGAGTTTGACGGTGCCCGGGGAGGGCGTAGCCGGAGGGCACCCAGGGGCCCTGCCCTCTGGGTATCAGCATGAGGTGCCCTGCACCATGGCGATGAAGAACTCGCAGAGAGAGCTCCAGGACTCCCCGCAGTAGTCCAGGGCCGTGCTCTTCTGCTGCACCATGTCGGGGTCATCCTTGCACTTGGGGTCCTGGGTGGTCGTGGTCGGGGTGCCCACCTGGCTGGAGAGCCCGTGGCCCTTGACTGTGCTCTGCTCCCTGGACGTGAACTCCGTGTCCTTGGGGTGCGGCTTCTTGTTCTGAATCAGAGTGGAGTTCGCCAGCTTGAGATTGGATTCTGGAAAGTTCTTTCTGCACACCCTGCTCTTCAGGACGCTCCTGGGGTCCCCGCAGAGGACTTTCTGAGACCGCAGGCTCCGAACGATTTGTTTCCAGTACGCACTCCTCTTGTTCAGCTCTAAGCAAGGGGTGGGATTGCCAGTGAAGACGCAGGAAAACGCCGCGTCCTGTCTGGTGCACTCGACCTTCAGGGCAATGCCCCTCTCCTGCTCGGTCACTGCCCACCTGCAGTCAGCCAGGTCTCGGGTGACAAACTTGCCTTTGGTCAGGGCCTTGGGCGACTGGCTTCTCTGCTGGGCCCCGGGCTGGGGAGGGTGCACGCTCCCTGCCGTGGCCTTGTTTCCACGCCTGTTCGTGGCTTCCTTCCGCCCCTCCCCCAGCAGCGCCTGAGCGGCCAGCAGGAAGGACAGGCAGGTGAGGCTGCAGATCCTCATGACTGCAGCGTGCTGGGGCCTATTGGATGAAAGGCAGGTGAGTCAGTGCCCGTGCTCCCTCCACCCTGACACACACCTGCTCGCTAGGCAGTGAGATTCACAGTTCTCTGGTTCCTGAACTACCGGACAAGCCGCCCTTTGTCACATTTCTGCTTGCGCTGGGTCTTGAGTGCCAACCTTCATTCATTGTTTCACCACTCCTGGAGTTTCAGGAACGCTCAGTCTCATTGGCTCACTCTCTCTCCACTTTTACTCACGACCCCATTCACTCGTTACTGGGCACCTAATGGACACTCGTTACTCCACCTGCTGCCTGATGCCACCTCTGGCCTGGCTTAGCAGCGCCCCTTGAGGAAGTGAAATAGCCGTGATTCAGAGTCCCTTCCTATTCTCTCCGTGGCTAGACCTGGGCAAGCCTTGTCTCAGTTCCTTCATCTAGAAATCCAAAGGTTGGTGCAATGCCCATCACACGCTCGTCCTGCGCCAAAGTGCTGGATTTTTAATTCAGTTCTACATGCACTTGCACAAAAAGAGATCTGGGAAGTGACTCGGAAGGGCGTGTTTCCCGAGGTGGAACACACATGCGGTGTGCACCCTCTGAGGTGGGTGAGCCTGTAAGTTCGTTTGGGGTGGAGGGGAGTCAGTTTCAGGAGCTTTGGCAAAGCAGGCTAATGTTCTTCCTAGCGCCACCCCCAGCAAAGTCAGTTTGTGCATTTATACCACAGGCTGCAAGAAGTTAAGGCTGGTTCTGGAGCTCTGCTGTGGCAGTGCTGAACAGTAACACTGTGCCTCCCACACTGTGCATAAGCTGCATGGATTTTATCAGGTGGATAACAAAAGCCTCACTCGACACGGGGAGAGGCCGCCGGACACCCACAGCGAGCTGGGCACCTGGCTCCACTGGATTCTCACCCTATGAACCCAGCCAGCCCTGCCTGGGGTCAGTTCAGCTCCCCGAGGCTGCCTGGAGACCGTTGAATCTCAGACCGTTGGGCAAATCAGTGTTCAAGCTGCCATCACAGACTAGTGACAAAGACTCAGGCCTCAGCACTTATCTCTCAGCTCTTAAGCCACCCACGCTGGTCACTTCCTGCCTTCACCCCCTCTGCCTTGCAGAAAACACTGGCAAGAAATAAAGGAACAAGTGTGATTCCTCCTAACTTAGCTTATGATGCTATGCTTCATCTAACCAATGTCCCATTTCATTTTATTTTAAAAAATGTTTAAAAAGGTTTTATTTTATTTACATATGCATAGAAGAGCCAGGGTGCAGGTCAGAGGAGCTGGGGGTGGGAGGAGTCACCAGAGACAGAGCGGGGAGCAGGACAGGCAGATCTACTGAAACACAGCTGAGGGGAGCCGTGGGGAGACAGGAGAGGTCTGCTGCACCCTGTGGGTCCCTCCCAGGCTGGGGGTGGCACTGGAGCTGCAGTGGCTGCAGATAGCTTCATAGTGCTGAGACTTAACCCCTGCACCACCAGGGAGGCCCCCAATGTTTCATTTTAAAGAAAAAGTGGGGTTTTGTTTAAAGAGCAGCAGGTCTAGGGTTCAGTCCAGGGCTCACTTCTACCCTGGGGTTCTGGGCCCCCTGAGAGGGACCATCAGGGGCGACGGGAGGCCGGTGGGCCAGGTGATCGCCACCTTGACCCTCAGGCGGCCCCACGTGGGATCCGGCCCGGGAGTGAGGGAAGGTCTGGACATGGGAGCGGGTGGGTGGGGGCTGAAGAGAGCAGGTCCTACCTGATCCTCGCGTGCAGGCCTGGGCAGTCCCAGTGTTAGGAGAGTTGGTGGGGGAGCTTGGCCAGCTTCTTCTGCAGGGCAGGCGGGGAAGCCCTTTATAGCAGCCTGGCAGAGAGGGTTTTACGGCTCACACCTGCGGAGTTGCATTCACATGCTTGATCACAGCCACACCCTTGCTTCCCAGGGAGCCAGTTCCTGCAGGGACAGTGTGGGTGTAACCCTGGGGCACGGGAGTTACTGCCAGGCACTAGGCTGGTCTCTGCAAGCCCTTTCCTTTGCCCCCAGGACAGGAGAACTGAGTTTGGAAAAGACCCTCACTGTGGGATGAGAGCCCCGGCAGCAGTATCTGGGGGTGGCGCTAGGAAGAACATCAGCCTGCTTTGCCAAAGCTCCTTATTCTGACCAAATGCACCATGGACCGGGTCACCAGGAAGTCCCAGGTTTTCCCCGGAGCCTGGGGCCTGGGCGTGGTGGGGCTTGTCCAAGGCCACAGAGCTAGAGGAGGAGCAGCTAGGTCAAGCCTGGCCCTGCAGCTGCTGTGTGACCCCCGTCTGCCCTCAGTGCAGGCTGTGGGCCAGCGGCTGGCTGGGGGGTGCCACCTGGTTTTCGGGGCCCTTGTGCACCCCGGGGGCTGGCTAAGGGGCCCTGACCTGGGGCTTCCTGCTGGGACTCACTGAGTGAGCCTGGGCCTGTCCCGTCGGCGCTGTCCAGACGCATCCAGGGCAGGCCGGGCCAGGCGAGGTCCTGAAGCCACGAGCTGTGTGACCTCAGCCAGGGCAACAAATCTCTCTGACCCTCCGCTGGTCACCTGCCTGCCCACCATGGCAGCACCTGCCTAGGGCCCCACTAAATGACGGGGGACTGGGCCGTCCACGTAGAGGGTCAGAGCAAATTTGGTGCGTCAAATGGCCTCACTTGCATTTTTCAAAACAGATATTTTGTGTGATGTGAGCACGCAGGAGACACCTGCAGCGAGACCTGAGGCTGGCTGGTGTCACCACACCTTTCACGCAAACGGGTCTTCCTAACTGCAAGGAAACAATAACAAGTTGATGACCCAAGCCAGCCGGGGCACCTCAAATCTGCTCCTGCCGCCCAGCCTCCTCCTCCCACAGCCTCTCACCTCCAACTTCTGCTCTCGGGTGAGGGCTGACTGGGGGTGCTGTGGTCTGGAGGAGCCCCAAGGCGGGTGGGTGGTGGGTGGGCGGGCACACAGCACGTGGGGGCCGAGGCCGGGCAGGCGTGGCTGCTCGGCCTGTGTCGGGAAGAGTCCCAGACTCTGTGAGGGACTGCAGTGTCACCACCCTGTCTTGTCAGGCCCACAACTCTGGGGGCTGCAGTCTGCACCGTGACCGTGGATGGTTCAGGGGACCCTCTCCCTGGATGGCTGAGGGGCCTCAGTTTGGGGCTGCGGGACAAGGGCCCATGCTCTGGTTCGGGCATGAAAGCAGCTCTTTCTGAAGTTCTGACGGGTGACGCCCCAACTGGGGTCTGTGCACAATCCCCGTCTGCACGTGTCTGCTGAGCCTGGACATCCAGTCTGCATTTTCCGATGTTTTCTGTGGAACGGGCCGTGTTCTAAGCTCTGCAGTGAACAGAACAGGGCGAAATAGTCCCTTGAAGGTCCTCCCTGGTGGCACAACGGGTTAGGACGCAGCGCTGCAAGCTGGCGGCAGCTGCTTCAGTGCAACTTCCATCCCTGGCCCCGGAGGTGACCACAGGGCGTGGCAGACCTCTCCCGACCGGCCCGCTGCTCCCCTCAGCAGTGGGCTTCATCCATCGTCCTGATCTGCTCCCCACTCTGTCTCTGGTGAATCCTCTCACTGCCCCGCACCACTGTTCTGTACCCCAGTTATCTATGCATAAATAAATTAAAAAAAAAAAGTCCCTTGAAGCTGACAACTAAAACAGGGATATCAGGAAAAAGCTCCGTGTACGGACCATGGTGATTCCCAAGAACGTAGAGGCCCCAAGTGGTGTCACCACGCCAGGGATGGCTTCTGGACAATATCTCTCTACAGGGCCTCGCTGCTGTGTCAGGGAGGTCGGGCAAGAGCCAGTACTTGGAAGCTGTTCCTTTTGGGACTTGTCTGGTGTTTTTCTCACGATCAGGCTGGCATGATGCCATTCTCTCATCCTGGCTTTAAGCCATGTAAAGGAGGTTCCTCTGGGGGACCCCAGGAAGCCTGAGCACACTGGCACCCACACACGGGCCAGGGCTGGTGGCTGAGCACATCAAGCGGATTTATTCTCGTGTTTGTTCTTACTTTAGGTTCCTTGACCTGGAGAGCTGGTCCAGACCCGACAGGGATGTGATTTGGGTCTGAGATGAATCGTGACCTTGCCGTGCACGGTCAAAACCAATCCGTCCTTCAACAGCGCTCTCGCGGCAGATAAAATCACTGTGGCTATGTGGCAGCAATGTCACTTTGTTGAGTCTACTCGAGTGCATTAAAGGCTTATTCATTCTTCAGAAAACGAGGAGACCGACTAGATAAACATCAACTAAAATCCAGTTTGGCAGCAAAACACAGCCATTGCCCCAAACTGTCCCTGCATTCAGCTTGAAGTGTCCATTAGTCATGAGGTTTCAGAGTTCCTGTTTAGCGGGTCACATGAGACATCACGCTCAAGCTGACTTTGGGGAGATGAGAGGCGGCCAGTTGATCCCTATTTGCTCAGTTAATCTCAAGAGGCTGCTCAGGCAGCTCCGGTGGCCCAATCAACCTCAGGGGCTGAGGCCACATGTCCGGGGGTTGGACATGGGAGAGGTGTCCCCAGTAAGCTATTTAATACCACTAGGAATTTGTGTGCCCACTGAGACTTTTAAAAACACATACACTTAACCTGCGCAGCTGTCAAAAGCTGCCACCAACCAGTGGAATGTGCCCATGTCCTGATTTCATTGGCCCATTGATTGCAGCGTGAGGTCCAGGTCACGTGAGCTGCAGGTCACGTGAGCTGCCGCTGTTTCAGGACACGTTGCTGAGAGCCTGAGCCTCACACGTCCCCTCCAACCCCACAAGCCCTCTGCTCTTCCTGGCTCTGTCCTCCCTCTGCCTGCCCCTAGGGGACATGAAGGAGGCCTCTGATTGCACAGGCTGCCACCTTCAAGTGAGACGTGTAGACACGCACCCTGGACCGGGTGGGGCAAAGGGACTGATCATGCTGACACCTGCCTATCTGCTTGACCTCAGAGCTTGCTCGGCAGCGCAAATACAAAAGCTCCCTCCCCTGTGTGCGAGGAGGAGGAGGGAGAGGGTGCTGCCTTCATCCCCCCCCACCCCAGGGGAGGCCATGTGGGTAGAATATAGGCTTCCCTATTCTTCCAGCTCAGCTGATCTGAAAGCACAAGGAGGGTAAGTGACTCTTCACATTTTCTTTTTAAAGCAATCATCTGCAAGAGTTCAAAGAGTTCATTTGCATTGGATTTAATTATGCACGGGCCAATTAATACAACCCGGTTTCTTGGGTGAGCATTCTGTTCTGGCAACTTCCCGGGAGGTTGGGGTGTACTTGGGGCCTTGGCAACTCCATAGCGCCACCAGGTGGTGATCTAATCCTGGAAGCCCAGACGGGGACTGGATTCTCTCTTGAACGTTTTGGTCTTTGCTACTTACTGCTGCGCCCGCATGGCAGGGATAGGACTCTGCAGGAGGAACGTGGAGATTGAAGAGTCAGCACATGTAGATGGTTGCAGCAAAACGTTCTCCCCTATTATCCTTTCCAGCCTCCCTTTTATACCCTTAATCCCAGGATGTTGGCCTGGGGGCAGGAGGAAATCTCCCTCCCATGTGCTACTGCGATCAAGGGTGGATATTAATCAGCTGCCCAAAGGTTAAGCCACTCACACAGGTGGCAAGATGTCTTCTTCCTATTATGATCTTGTGCTTAAGCTCCGGGGTGGTTGGGGAGGCTCATCCCGGCTGGGACCCAACAGCTACTTGATTAGGAATCATTCTGCAAATCCTCAAAGCACTCTGTCGGCGGCCCGTTAAACACTCCTATAAGGAGTGGCCGCTACGTCCGCTTGATATAAAGATGGGGAAAATGACGGAAGCCGCTTCTCCTACTCCAGATACAATAGTGTTTCTGCTCTGACAGAAAAAGATGAAAATGCCACCTCACCCCCAACATAAGCCTGACGGCCTTTGACTGCAACATTCCGGCAACAATTCAGAAGAGAAACCCTCTAAGACGTCAGCTCACAGCCTGGGCTGGCTCAGCTCCTGGAAGTAGAGAGCGCCGTGGGAAAGAAGGCAGAGGAAAGAGACTCCCTGGCAGGGTAGGTTCGGGATGAGTCATGAAAAGGCTGGCTGGAGGACCGGACGTGTGGAGATTCCACCTGCCTCTTCCCTGCTTTCAACAAGGACTTTGATACAGAGTGTGCTGCCCCTGATTGTTCTCTTTTAATCCAGGCAAGTCATGGGGGGTGCATCGTCTCACCCCAACTTGATCAAAAATACTTTCAGACCCTTCATACTAGAATGTAAATGACTAGCAGCAATGTCATACTACATCTCACCACACGCCAAATACGTGACCTCCCATCTTACAGGATTTCTCAGATGCCAGCTTGTGCTACCAACCCTATGCCCCCTTTGCTGCCTACAGGTATCCTCCCAAGTCCTGCTCCCCTAACAGTGCCTTTGCCACTCCAGACTGTGGCCCTTTCCACCACTTCCCCCTGATGCCATGCCTACTCCACTGGACTCCCCACCACAGGGCGCTGCTCTTATCCAGACCCACCCTGTGCCCGACAACCCAATGGACAAAAAGGGGTTGAGGGTGGGTCACGTTTGGGGGTGCCCTAGGGTGGGCGAGCAACTTGGCTATTTTGTCATGAGTATTTTGGGACCTGTTTATGAATTCAATGATGACCAGGTTTAGAGAAACCAAACAATGTGGACACATTTCTGAAAAATTCTCAGCGCTTTATTATCTTTGGTCATTGGACAGAAGCCTTCCTCTGGCTCTTGCCGCATGAGGGTAGGGCCACCCTCCCCACTGCACACAGC